AGGTCAGCAGGTAAGAACACTTGCCGTGCAACATGCAGACCTGAGTTCAGATCCCCAGAAGCTATGTGAACAGTCAGGTGTGGTCCTGTGCCTCTAACCCAGCACGGTGGGGTGTCAGAAGAGACAGAAAGATTGCTGACCACCAGCTCGGCTCCAGGTTCAGTGGGAGACCCTGTCTCAAGGGACTAGGGTAGAGAGTGACAGAAGACAGCCAGTGTCCTTCTCTGGTCTCTGTGTGTGCACAGGCATGGCACCTGCAACATGTAAATATACCACACATATATCCTCTCTCACGTATGTACACACAGAGTCAATTATCACCATCATCTATCCTTTCCTTTTAAAAGATTTTAATTCATTAATTAATTTTTTATTTTATGCATGAGTGTTATGCTTGGATGTGTGTAAGTGCACCCGTGTTGTGCAGTGCCTACGGAGGACAGAAGCAGTTGTCAGATCCCTTGGAACTGGAGTTACAGTCATTAGCTGCCATGTGGGTGCTGGGATTTGAACCTGGGTCTTCTGAGAGAACAGCCAGTGCTCTTAACCACTAAGCCATCTCTTAAGGCCCCACCATCATTCAATTCTAGGAATCTGAGGATGTATTAGTCTCTGATTTTCTTTTATCAGAGAAATTAATAGACAGCTTTACTTACAGGCTATAAAGAGGAAAACTGACACTCAGGAAAGTTATTAGGCCTTTGGCTATTGATTCTGCTATTTTTTTTAACCAAGAAAGTAGAGATTTTTTTTCATTAATTATTTTAGCAGTTTTTATTATTTTCTCCTACATCCAAAGCAATCTCTGTCCATTGTAGAAAACCCTTGAGACTAAGGACAAGTGAAAGGAATACACTAAAAAACACAAGCTAGGCAGCCAGAGATGCCCTAGAACTGAGGCCCCTCATGTCCCCTGCCGTTTTGATTTTAGTATTTTTTCTTTAAATAGAAGTGGGGTTCACACACACACACACACACACACACACACACACACACACACACACGATCTGCTTTTTTCATCCAAGGGGAGAGATTTCTATACTGTTAAATACTCTTCTCAAACATGCACTTAAATATTTGCCTAGAATCCCATTGTATGGCCTTAATATAGTTTACCCCACTGCGGATCATATATTACCCAGTTTCTCATTGTTATAAAAAACCCTTGGATCTATTTTTTTGGCACATTTATGATTATCCCCTTAGGAGTAATTTTGGAGATTAAACCAGTGGGTCAAAAGATGTGAACGTTTGAGCATACTTTGCAATGTATTGCCAAAGTCCCTCTGGAGAGATTGACTTTCTCCTCAGAAAAGAGAGAGTAGATGCGTCTGTGCCCTACTAATACTTTCATGATTTTTATCAATTTAATAAATGGGAGTTCACATTGCGTGGCTGTTTTCGTTACTATTTTGTGGCTCTTCACCTTGAACTCTTCTGCTGCGGCCTTTAAGTTGTTTTCATTCCCCACCCCCACGACTTCCCTTTTTGTATTCATCACTTATTTTTCTATTAGAGTGGGTTTTTTTTTCTTTTCCTAATGAACTTGCAAAAATATATTATCTACCAAGGGCATGAACACACCTAAATTAAGTACTGTGAATGTTTTTTTAATTTGTCTTTTGCCTCTTGTGTGTGTATGTTACAGAAGTTGCTTCATTATGTATCGACTCTTGTGAACTTCCATTATAGCTTTGGGGTCAAAGCATTGTGCAAATTCTATAACCTTTCGAATGTGCCTGCTATCATTTCCACAATCTTATTTCTGCACCTACCTCCTTAATCTAGTTCAATTTATTTTGGTGTCGAGCACAGGAAGTATTCTGTATTTCATCTCCCACTGGTAAGAGTATCATTCCCTGCATTTAGTTCCCAACAATCAAACATGAGCTGTCCCCTTTATTAGGCCTCTCTTCTCATAGATGTCCAGGTCTATTTCTGGACTGTACTTTCCTCCAAACACTCATCTATTTGCTTGTTACTATAATATTGATTTAGATCTATCTTAATCTTTTGTATCTAAGTTTACTGTTCGTCTTACAGGTTAAAAACATTCAACAAAACTTTCTGTGGCAGCATCATTGTTCAGCCATAAAGTTAGAAATTGTGCTTATTGTGTTCACAAAATCTTTTTAAGATTTTTGTTTTAGATGTATTAAATTTTAAATTATGTTGGGTGTCATTTGCATCTTCACAGAGTTTGTGAAGCGTATTTACAGTGGTCTGTGCTTACTCAACTCTGCAGCAATTTTAATGTAAATTTTTGTATATTTCATACAGAACATCTTAATCATCTTTATACCTCCTTCCCCATCAGCACCTTCCCGTAGCCCCCACCACTGGAATTCAGGAATTCTGTCATTTGTGTTAAAGCCTACTGAGTCAAGTTAGTATCCCCAGATGTCCCTCGGTGCCAGTTCATCCACTGAGGTCTAGTCAGCCTGTCTAGAGTCCCTCCTTTTAAGAAGATCAACTCTCCCTCACCCAGCAGTAATCAAGATTGGGGCCTGCTGCCCATTCTGCAGCATTTTTTTAATGTTAATTGGTTTAGCAATTGTATCTGAACCATACTCTAGGTTGGAATCAGTTATTGGGAAAGAAGTATTTTGTAAAATGAGATTCGTGCTGGGCATAAATGGGATGGCACATGTGTATGTATGCATGAATATGTGTGTACACATATATGTATGTTTTGTATGAACCTGGTGCACACTGTGAGAGCCTTCACTACTACTGTGTGTGAACATAACTACTACTGTGACATCACAGAAACTGAAGTGCTATTTCGGTGCTGCATTGACCGTTCAGTGGGGTAGAGGTTACACCACTGTCAGGGCCTCCCGAGTCTCCGCCTTCCTTTGACCTCTGAATATGGTCCTAAAATAAGGGAAGAGTGTTTTCATATTGTTGTTTTCCTGTTTGATTGCTACTAAAACCAAAGTTAGAAGATGATGTTAAGCTTGGAACTACGGACAAGACCCATTCCCCATCTTCAATCCTGTGTCCTGTGTAGTCCAGTGAATTGGCATGATTTCCTATGCATTTCCCATCCTCAAGCACAATTTGAGATTCTGTTCTCCTTTCCTATTTATTTTCTTTTTATTTCTATTTGAAAAAGGACAGAGGGGTACTCATGTGATTCTTTCTTCATAGCTCTTTAAATCAGGACTGCCTAAGGATACGTGTTTTTCAGAGAACATGCCTTTTCTATGTCTTTGGTTTCCAATTCTTCTGTAAAACACATCATGCTGGAGGTATCTTCTGTGATTGCTTTATATATGCAATTGAGCAAACATGGCCACAGATATAAGTTTATGGAGAGATACAGGGAAAGAGGGCTGGTGTCTACTCAGGACACCAAAACGGTTGACCTTCAGTTCACCTTGTGCTCAGTTTTGTTGTTCTTTTCCCCTGTGAACTCTTATTTGCTCTTTTTCAAGAAAGCTTAGCAGCAAATAAAAAGACCTTGTCTGATGGAACTTGGAGTGTGGGACATGAGAGGATGGGGCTCTTCACTGTGTAAATTGCCTTTATTTTTCTTGGAAATTACCACACTTAGCTGTTGGCTTCCCTTAAGTCATTTTTAATGTTACTATTGTTAATATTGGTGGTTTTTCTCTGAACATTATGTCAGGGGAGGCTGAATTTCAGCTTTATTTCCCAGGAGCACCGGAAGTCCAGAGAGGGAGGTGATCTTCTAAATGTTAATAAACTCCTACATTTAATGAGAACTTGGCCCATGGAGATGGCACTTGTAGAGACATTAATCCTAAATGCCAAACCTCTGGAGCCTGGAAGCTGCCAGGAGGCTCACAGATCCAGATAGGTCTCCTTTTGGGGGTGAAAAGAATTTTCCCATGCTGGGTGAATGGGTTTCTTCCCAGGCACATTGGTCTTAGTCTTCTCTTGCCATTTCTTTCATGATTAAAGACCTGCCACATCCTGCCCCTCTTGGTCCCTGTCTTCCCTGACCTTCTAGGCAGAAGGACACTTCTGTCTCCTCACATTCCCTTTTTTCCTCTAACAGGATCATGATCATCATAGTTGTTATCTGTTTCTATTCCTCCTGGGCAGGGAAAATACATCGTCACATTCAGCTCTTTGTGATTTCTCTCCTTTGTTTTACTGATGTTTATTCAATGTGTACAGTATTGGGTTTCAAATAGACAAGTTCTGTCAAGTATATCACGAATTTAACCATGTTTACCTCCCTTTTGCTTTTACTTCATGTATATGCATACATATAAATATATATACATGCATACATGTATGAGTATGAGTATTTTATGTGTATGAGTATTTTGCCTGCATGTGTGTATGTGTACTGTGTGTGTAGTGCCTTCAGAGGCCAGAGAAGGCATGGGATCTCCTGGAACTGGAGTTACAGCAGGTTATGAGCTATCATGTGGGTGCTGGGAAGCGAACCTGGGTACTCTGCAAGAGCGAAAAGTGCTTTTAATCACTGAACCATCTTTCCAGCCCCATGCATATATATGGTTTTAGGCATCTATAAGAAATTGTAGGTCTCACAACTGGGAAAACATACACTATTTGTCTTTTTGCATCTGAATATTTTGCATAATATGATTATCTCCAGATAACCCAGTCAATAAATGGACTATTGTAATAAACAGATAGTTCTTGAAAAATGAAATGCAAAAAAGCAATAAACCTATGAAAACAATGTTCAACATCCTTAGCTATCAGGGAAACACAAATTAAAATAGCACTGAAATTCTCTCTTACGCCAGTCAGAATGACTATCATTAAGAAAACGAGATACTGGTGAGGATTGGGGGGGAGAAAAGAGCCCTTGGACACTGCTACGGAAATCAGTTTGGAGATTCCTTAAGTTGTTATTTTAATCCCTGGAATCTTGTTTTATGGCTGGAAATTACTAACTTCTCAAAGTGCGAGAATGGAATGCATTAATACACAACAGGAAGACTGTTCCTGGATGTGCCCCCTTCCTAAAGAGGATTGTGCCCTTTTGCTTTCAGTCATGTCGTCAAGCCCCACCGTTGGATCTTCCAGCACATCCTCCATCCTCCCATTTTCCTCTTCAGTTTTTCCTGCTGTCAAACAGAAGAGTGCCTTTGCACCTGTCATCAGGCCCCAAGGCTCCCCTTCGCCGGCCTGCTCCAGTGGCAATGGAAATGGATTCAGAGGTAAGTGAGCAGAACGCTTTTGGGGATATATGTGACACAAAGGCCATGGGGCCTGCAAAGTAAAAGCAAACAGCCCAGCTTCACTCCATAGTTCTGAACACTTGTCAACAGATGATCATTTTAGAACTTCCATCATGGGTCATGAATGGCAAGTACACCTGGGCTAGCACTACACCTAGAAGAGAGGGGGTGAGGAAAAGACAAGCAGGGAAGGAAGAGCAGGACTTGGAATCAACTGTGGTACAGCCAGATGTGCAACCCAGAAACATCTGGACAGCCCAGTGTTGTCCCAGGCCATTCACTGTTTCTGGAAGTTGTCACCCCTTCAAACTCTACCTAGTGGTTATTTCTTATCTAACTGGCTTGCCATCTGCACTGCATGTTCATTTCCACGGCACACATGCAAAGATCCAGCAGGAGCCAGAATTCTGGTTATGTGCTCACCAAATTGATAGCAGGTGCCTGATCAAGGGGTGAGGTAGGGAAGAAAGAGGAAAAAGACATACTGTTTCTAAGAACAAAAAATTAATATCACCCGTCAAACCCACTTTGGAGCAACATCCTAAAATGTAATGTGACATGACGTAACACAAATGTGATGAGTACATGAGAATCTAATCACCCCACCGAGAACGGGAGGCCGCTGATGGCAAGAGAGCAAATTGGAAACTGCTGAGCGCCATGGCTCACTGGTGACCCACATTATTTTTGGCTGTTTCTCACATCTTGACATGAAAACATTCACAACAGGCAGTGTTGGATAAAGCCAAAAAGAGCACAGTTCAGCTAACCCCTGTGAAGCCAGCAGAGGTTCATGGAGATCTGGGATAGACTGTGCTGTCCTGGTGACCCCAGCTCTTTGTGGCATGATGACAGCATGTGGGTTCTGCATCCCTCTGGGACACCTGTGAAGGCAGCTGGGAAAACTTGAGAGTCATATTAGGGTTCCATGCATTCCACCCCTGGGTACTGTGACATTTTGACAGAGACGATGGAGAAACTGTCAAAACCATTACTGGAAACCCAGCAAGGACTCAGAGCACTCACTGAAAATTCCTCTCAGTAGGCAAGGCAGCTGCGACTTATTGCCACCCAACATGTGGGTAGTTGAAAACATCTGTATATTGCATGGAACTTTTAGGGGGGTGTTTCATCCAGATGTCTAAGCCATAGGGAAGCAGCACAGCCTATAACTGTCTCCACCTGTCCCTTCTCTCATTAAACACCCATGGGTTCCAGCCTGCTACTTGGAGATGTGCTAGAACTTGTTCCCCGCCAGTCAGAGTTACATCCTGGGAAAGGTGTGAATAGTGAAAGATCTGCTATGTCTCTCTCCTACTTCAATGATGCCATGTCTGCTCTCTAAGTGCTCTGCCTTCATAGACTAAGTCAGTGGGGAAATACAGAGTGAGGGACACAGAAGAAGCATAGCAGGGGCTTTCATCTACCCTGGCACAGATGACGAGATGTTTTTTACCATTCCCGGAGACGCCGTAAATATGTCCAATTTCACTTGAAGAAAAAGTCATAGTGTTTAGCTTCTACCTGCCACCTCTTTTACAGGTGGCCTGAGTTTGGGGGGGGGTGCACAGCTGGTTGTCTTGGATCCTCTGCATTTGGCCTCTTCTGCCTAGGGAGACTCACTGTGGGGCCTGCCTTGTTCTGGGGCTACAGGGAGGCTGGGGCAGAGTTTTCACAGGCCCCACTTTTGTTATACATCCAAACTCCCTGCAGTGTCACCAAAACAAGGTCAGAATAAACCCGAAGGGAGTGATGCATTGTCCTAGGTTTCTTTGGGGCACAGATAGAGCAGTGATACCAGAAGACCCTTGCCAGGGTCTTCAGCCATGCACACTTCCTGTCACTGCCTGCCAGGATGCTTAGCTAAGAAAGCTGGCTGGCTGGCATGTCCTTGATTCTGTCTGTCGAAGTGACAAGTCAGTAGTCCACGCACAGACACAGACTGTACACTCTGGCTCTATAACATCTATTGGATGTCCCAACCCTCTTTAGAAGTGCCTTCAAAGATCCTTGGTGAGTTGAACCAGAAAAAAAAAAAGGAGAGACAGACCTGTTGGTTTAGAGTTGCAGCATTGAAAAATTTGCAAAGAATAATGAAAAGATGATGTGCAGAAATAGCAAGGTGAATTCTGAGGCGACTGTAGGTGTGCTCACAATGGAGAAAGCACTGGACTCAACTTCACACGTAATGCTGGAGTCCAACCTCAGCTCTTCCCAGGCTGCATGAAGTTGTAAGTCCATTCTCATTATAGAGCCTCAGTTTCCTAGTCTGTCACACAGAAAAATCGATAGCTGTCTTCAAAGATTATTGTGAATTGATCTGGGTGAGGGAAGCTGGGTAAATGGTGCTCCATACAGCTGTCAGGGAGGCCAGACCTGCCTCCTGCTCGATACCTTCTATTACCAAATGAACAAAAGCTCAGCATCCCACACAGGTGCCAGTAGATGCAGAGAGAAGGAAGCTGAGGTTTCATGCTCTACCCCCAGCGTGGAATGAAAACACCCTGGAATACAAGGGCCTGACAAGACAGGAGCTATGTGTGGGCCTGGTTGACCCAAGGCTGATGGGGCCTCTCTGTAGACTCTCATGAGATCCAGGGTCTTTATGATCCACAGTGTAGACAGTACAGCCTAAACCTTGTACTGTATATATGGCACTGGACTGAGCGTCCAACATACGCTGCGTCCTTGAAGCATGCCTCATCCCCATGTTTAGCGGAGTAGTTCATCTAGGGCCACACAGCAAGGAGCTGATGAATTGAACCTAGACATTTGGACTGCAGAGCCTGTGCTCTGATAGCCACTGTCTCTCCAGGGACAATAATAATGAACGTCCTCCCTTTACCCCTAACCCTTCACTCATATCTACTTTGCCACCTGGACAGAAGGAGGTTATTGCTTTCTGGTGAAATGCCCAAGGTGAAAAGGAATTGGACAGTCACTTAGCCACAAAAATGCTTCTAGTGAAAGTCACCAATGAAAATGTTTCCCCTCTCTCTAATTTCTGTCTTACTGTCTGTTGACTCTGGTTTGTATAAGTACAAAGTCAAGGTCACCATCTGGCAGAGATCCAGATCATCCAGTGTTGGGTATGGGACCAGGAGAGAAAGGCACAGGTGAAGTCTGTTGATCTGACACGAATCGGGCTTAGCCTTTGAGCAGCTCTGAGCTTCATTATGTTCATTTGGTAAAACTCCGAGACCCCAAAGGGGAAGGGGTTGAGGAGTGTTGAATGTAATAGTCAAGGTGAAGATGGGAACATGAGCCAGGGTTCTGCCACGCAGGAGCAATAGTGCCAGCCTTTCTGCCCACCCTCTGCCTCATTTATCAGGCATTTACAGTTGATGAGTATGGATCGCCAAGATAATATTATACACTGTGTGTCTGATTCATTTTCCAGCTCCATCCAGGAGAAAAAAAAAAAAAAAAACAAGCCTCCTATACTCTGGGATAATTACTAGAGTTGCTATATCTCCAAATCATCTGGGAGTGTCCAGAATTGAACTGCCTTTATTGAAAAGTTACATCGATTCAATATATAGTAATACAGGCAAAAATAATTAAGGCTTTGCTAGCTGTGTAAGACCTTAATCCAGATCTCACAAACATTCAATAAAGGCTGTGTGGGCAGGGAAAGAGACTGCTGACAATTTTGCCCGAGAGAACTAGCTGGGGTGGAGAAAGGGGCCAGGGAGGAGGGGCAGGGAGCGAGACAGATAGAGACACAGAGGATGGATGGGGAGGAATGGTCAGAATTTGGGCCATTTCCTTAGAAGCGTTGCAGGCAACACTCAGGAAAATGCTTGAGTGATATCGGTCATTCTCCTTAAAGCAATATAGACAAGAGAAATCGAAGACTCAAATTTCAGAGATGGTTGGAAGTCTGGATGCAAACAAACTATTTTGTCATTTTCCAAGAATTTAGAAATTCCCTGAGCTCATGACAACACAGCCAAGGACAGAGGAATGCATATTGCTGTGTGATATTTTTCCACCCTTTGTTCATGACCCATATCGAGGGAAAACCTTGGACTTGACTTTACCCAGACAAGTATCGTCCACATCCTCTTGACTAGATGGAGGAGGCACTGGGTGCTGTACTTGGGTAGGGTGTGAGGAGTCGGGGCTGGGGTAACCTCCAATTAGGAACTAAATGGAGTCTTTCCCAGTAGATCAACCATTCTACAGTGAGCACTAAGAGAAGATCAACTACTTAAAGAAAGCACTAATCCAGTTTACAGTAGAGCATTCATAAAGATACTTAGGATGGAGAGAAAAGCCTGGCTTGTTATAACCAGCGTGAGGACGTTAACAGGCTCATCATCTGAAATTTTCCTTCCTGTTCTACAGAAGTGATTTGGGACAGAATCATCTGGGCAGGATTTTAATTTAATAATGAAAGACATAGCATACATATTGCAATTGAGTTTACATTTTATCTCGAGATGATCCATTAGTACAAAACAAAACGGGCTGAGGAGATACCTCAGTTGATAAAGTGATTGCTGAACAAGGATGAGGGCTTGAGTTCGGTTCCCAGCACCCACATAAAACTCTAGGCATGGTGGCACAAGCTTGTAATCCCCACACCGAGAAAGTGCAGACAGGAGGATCCCTGCCAGCCTAATCTAATCAGTGAAGAGACTGTCTCAAAAATTAATGTGGACAGCTCCTGAAGAAGGACACCTGAATTTGGCCTCTGGCCTTCACACACACACACACACACACACACACACACACACACACTCACACACCCACACACACACACACTCACACACCCACACACACACACACTCACACACCCACACACACACACACTCACACACCCACACACACACACACTCACACACCCACACACACACACACACACACACACACACACACACACACACAAGCAAAGCATAACCCCTGGTCTCCAACAAGAACTGCAGCAAGTCTTGTTCTTTGGGGAGTCCTGAATGCCTCAGTGGCTTCTGTTAGCCCCAGCCTAGAGCAAGCCAGCACACATCTGAGCCAGGGGCACCATCTCCCTGGACTGTGTCCCTCTCTCATTCCCTCCCTTCTTTTCTCCCCATGTGAAGTGCTTTGCCACAAAAATTCTTGGTGTTTCATTCTGGTGTTGCTCTTTCCTTGTAGCCATGACGGGGCTTGTCGTACCCCCGATGTAAAGTGGAGGAAGAACTGCTTTCTCATAGCACAAAACTACTTAGTCCAATGGACCGATAAGAAAGCACTCTGAGCTCCTTCAGAAGAGTTGTGCCCCCAAGTTGGACGTGGACAGATTTGGGAAGGCAGAGAGCCACCGTCTTGGTCTCATGTCTCTCTTGCAGCTCTGCTGGGAACTACACACACCGACCCTCTTGGAGACAAGGACAAAAAGAAATGTCATTAATGTGGTCGGTGCTAAGAGCAGAAAGGCAACTCTTTGTTATGAACATTACGAAAACCACCTTTGTTTGTAAAATAGTTAAGAAAAAAATTGGCAAACAATTCATGCTTAATATTTTGGATACTATTTGTTTTTCTTTGTAGGAAAAAAAAGTTGAAAGTTTCTATTTTCTATGAAGCCTTTCAGATACCAATTTAGTTTATGCAGAAAAAAATTGAACAAAACAGGGTACCAGCACGGAAGACTTTCTTAAAATGAAACATGAATTGAAAGGAGAAATGTTGAACGTGTGTGTGCTTATAGTTTAAGCTCTTTAAAAAACAAACAAAAAGGGAAAAAGTTTTAAAATGTTTTACAATTATTTAAATAAATAAACGTGTAACTTATTGTAAGTAGAAGTAGAAATTAAGACCTTTTTTTAAGAAGAGAGGAATTTCTCTTCCTGATGTAAAATGAAATTGACGCAAACATGTAGTAACAAGTTTTAAAGGTGTGTGATTATTACAGTTACTTATTAGACTCTTATCCCCCATCCCGCATCTCCCTCTTTTTCCATTGTTTTATTGACCTCATGTGCAAGAACATGTAACTTGTGTAGATTCCTACAGAACAATCCACTGCAGAAAAACAGACTCAAATAAATGCCCATACAAACACTCCAACTCATCCCTTCATTCCCCAGCTCTGTCTGCTTTCTAAATAGTTCACAGATCACTTGTGGGCTCCACTCTTGGTGAAGCATTTTTAAAAACACCTGTCAGTTTGCAGTGTTCTTTCCTGAGAGATGCAGGGAATCCCTGTGCTAGCGTCTCAAGCCTTGAATATCCCTAGGCAAGAAGTATGTCACCTTTGAGAAGAGCCAAATCACGTGACTGCACAGAGCAGGGACTTTTTGGAATCCTTCCTTGCTAGAGTCACACACCCTCCTCTCTGGGTGTCTGGCCCACTCACAGAGCACAGAGGTGGGCCCCACAGAACTTTGGAATAAGATGCTTCTGTTTCTTAGACTTTTAAGACTCAGTCTTCAACTGCCCAAGTCTTTTTCTCTCTGTAGATTTTTCCTCTTATGTTATTAAACTTGGAAAAATATGTATTTCACCTGACACTTTCTGAGAAGGGGGAGTATGAGATGTAGAAGAGAGAAGTCTAAATCCCTAAGTCCCTCTCCTTCTGTTCAAAGTCAAGGAAACTGGGATTCTTAGGAGATTCAGAAATTAGAGGCAGCTGTGTTCTAAGCAGGGCAGTTACCCAAACTGCATTAGGCTCCCTGGAGCTACCTACCTAGTTCTGGGCTCCCTGTACCTACCTAGTTATTAGAAGAAGACCTTACAGTAGCAGATAATAGTGGTTGACTCTTAGAGGCTTATGTGATCCTGGAGATTCATCCGGAAGTACCTGGGTTGCCACTAGGATGTCATGTTTTCCCTGGTCAGGTGTCTTCCCTTACTGACACCACAGACTTAGCTTGGGGTTCTTGGTTAGGATTCAAACAGTAGAAATTGATGCATCTCCCATGGAAAAACATCTTTAGTACTTCTGAGCAATTTTAGATGACCCTCTCATGGCTCCACTGGTACATGTCCACATCTACCCAACCTCAACTATCTCATTTGTCTTTAGTTCCCTCTGGAATTACCCTCCATGATACGTTTTTTTAAATGCACACACAAGAATCCACAATTTTGGAAGGCTGGCATGCTTATTATTACTGCTGACAGTCCTTCATAGTCAGGGCTCCTAGCGCCAAAATATATGGAAACACATGAGGGAAAGTTCCCCGGTGAACAATCCAGTAGGAGGGGAAAAATGTGTGGAATACGATGAGCCTTACCATCAAAAAATGAACGCGGAACAAAATGAAGCATGTTCAGACCTGGACTTGAGCCAATCCAACATAAGGAAACTTTTTTTTAAGTAGCATTGCTTTTAGAACCTGTGAATCTCGCTTTTGCATGAAGATGAGCATAGTACTGTCTTCAAAAATGATTGTAGAATCTGCCGGTAGAGTTACACCAAAAAAAGTGTGTAGCTAAATACCAGACATCTTTGACCATTCAGCTAGAACCTCGGCAGCAACAGATCTATTTAATTGTACAAATGTGTGTAAGGATTATTTTTAGTGTACTAATAAATTAAAAACAAAGCTACTCTGTCCTTTTTAGTCATTGCTATTGAATCATTTTGGTCCCAGGTTATGTTTGTACCACTTGGAATACAAGTATCTCTATAGGTCATGACAAAAATTCTGTCCCACCTTTGTAAGAGGAGCTCTGTAATAATTTTCATTTAAAGGGACAATTTATTGCATTATTGATCTGTTGCTG